ACTTATAATTCTATATTTGTACAAAATATTGATATAAACATTTACAGATATTTATAAGGTTTTTACATTCTACGTTAATGTAATAACTTTCGCGGGGAAACATATAAAACTATGAAAAGGAAAAATTGAAAAAATTATCGCTTCATTTGACTTGTTCCGGGTGAACGATGATGGAAAACAAATGAAATTCCGCTTGACCAAAATTGACGTAGTGGCACGTTCTGGTATATTTCATGGATTCTGGGCGTATCTACAATTTGATAAATCTGAATTGAAATCCTTTCACTTCTATACCATTAACACACCTCTTGCACTTAAACCTCTAACACATAAATGGATTTACCTCAACAGATATAGATTTGACACAATGTTATGAATGTTAGAAATGTTCTCAATATTAGAAACGTTACTTTTCTTATTTGTAATGATTTATTACTCTACTATTTTTACATACTTCGAATGAGTATCAAATATTGTATTTTCTTCCAGTTTAAATAAATTTGGCAAATCGTTCAACATGAAATGCCTTACAATGTCTTCTTCAGGGTCAACTGCAATTGAACTCAAAATCTTTTTATGCGCTTGTCTGTGAAAAATATTTTCTTCGATTGTACCAATCTATAACATATTTATATCAAGATTAAGTAAAGTGTTATGTAGAATTACAAATTATGCCAATGATACTTGAAATGATGTCGGGTTACATACATAAAGGAAACGATATACAAAACATGATTTCTTCTGTCCATCTCTCCATATTCTGGCAATTTGCAGGATTCTAATCTGGATCGAATATAATAAAACGACTCGCACCAATGAGATTCAGCTCACAACCGCCAGCTTTCGAGCTGAGCATAAAAATGAAATCGCTACTATTTGAATCATTAAACTTATTCACTACTTTCGACCTTTTTTTGATAGTCATTGTACTATCGAGTCTAACGTAATTGTAGCAACGTTTGTGACATCATTTTTCAAAAAGATCAAGAGTTAATGTGTAATTTGATACTAGTACAATTTTATCATTGATTGTCGTTTTAATCGATACTAAAAGGCAGTCTAATATCATCAACCTTCCCAACCGTTCTGGTAAAATTTCTCTGGAAGCAAAATTATAAATATGAATGATGATATTTCATCAGGTCATAATCTATTTTAGATAAGATACACATTACTTATGATCCAATGATAATAACTTTTAATAATACACACTTGGCATTATAATTCGGTGGCGTTAAGTTTAAAGCATTTTCAAATCCATTTGGCTGCTGTAATATTTTTGCATACACTAAATCAAGATGATAGCACAGCTTTTTCAAAAGTGTGATTGTTGACAAAGCAGGAAGACATTCTCCTTTTTTTAGGCACCATTGGAATCTTCTGTCAAAATAAATAAATCTGCATCAGTTGAAAAGAAAAAGTAAATTTTCGTTTATACGAAGAAGTTCATAAACCTTCCATTGATTTTTTAATGCTGTCGATTTATATAAAATTTTTGTAAAGATCAGCCTGCAATTTACCCAATTTTATACAGATCATTAGATCATGTTTTAAAGGTAAGTATTTATAGAGGGGGAGGGAGGGAGGGAGAGGAAGAAGTGAGAGAGAGAATAAGGCACTGGTATGTCTAATGAGACACTTATTAATGAGAATTACTAATTCCGTTAATCGTTCTTGAGAAAATGCGCGTTCTGCATTTCAAACTTTTTACGAAATTCCTAACGCGAAACAATAATAGTATAATAATGATCTTAAAAAAATACTTTCACTTATTGTTTTCTATATCAAGTAAATTAAAGAATCTGTGCGGTTCCTAACAATCCTTGATTAATAAAGTGCACAAGAGAAAAATATTCTAACAGATCGTTTTGGATAGTTGTTCCACTAAGCAATACTCTTCTTTTAGCTTTCAAATTCATAAGCGCTTGATAAGTCTGACACTCTGAATTTTTTAAACAATGTTCTTCATTACACAATATCAGCCCCTCTTCGTCTTGATGAAGAACATGTGCATGTAAACGAAAAATTTCATAGCTAATTATTAAAATGGGATTAGCGCATCTATGTCCATAAATCTTCATAAAACCTATAAGTTTTGAGTCAATGTCGGCTTTACATCCACCATTAATGGCTAATGGTTGTAATCTGGTCTTTAACCATTTAAAAATTTCAATATACCAATTTTTGACCAAAGAACTAGGAGTAAATTAAATTAAACTAACAAATATTCTACCTTGTTTCAATAGGTTCCACAGAAGAGCTATGCACTGCAAGGTTTTTACAAGACCCATTTCGTCAGTCATAATATAACCATAAGCATCTTCTATTCGTTTTCCAGTTACACATTTGTATATAAATTTCACATCTTCACGTTAATGAGGCTTTAAAATATTATATAATACAGGATCTACCACAGCGTCTACAAGTTGTTTAGTTCTGCAACATAAAAGTATAATAATTACAACAAAATTGGGACAGTTTTAGATTAATTTTGAAAGAATTCTGATTAATTTATTTTATGCTTACAAATCTAATTTCAATCCATCATGCTCTGATACCACTGGTGGTGAATAAACAATAAGTGCATTGGCTTTTTCAGAATCATATAGTGGTCTACGTGGTTCAGATAAACATATTCCTAAGGAACCACCTGACAATTGATAACCAGGAATTAGAATTTTGAAAGATTTACTAAGGAGTTTCTTTACTTTTTCTTCTTAGAAACTCAAATTAATTTCCATATAAAATACACCTATTTTTAATTAATGTATAATGTTCATACTTTTTATTGTATTAAATTACTTACATGTTCAGAGATTACTTCTCGAGTTGCTTGTACATCATCTGCTGAAAGCTCAATGACTTTGTATTTTGGTATTTGTACATCTTTAACAATACGGCAGATATTTTTCTTTGCCCAATTTATTTGTGGCACAATTAGAGATAAATATATATCTTTGGATATATTTCAGAGTAGTGGACGTATGCCTCTGACTAGACACCAGTGATCAAATCTTACAATGATAAACAAAAGATTAAAAATTTTTTCCGAACATTTAATGATATAATAATAGCAATACGTATATTTATAGAGCAAAAATATGTTCATGACTGTGTGAAGAATATATTGTGCATAGTAAAATGTAAGTTATGTATCCATATAAAACGAATTTTGCATAACATTACCATTTTGTATCAGTACCCAAAAATGATATGAAACCAGTTCAAAATTCTTCATCTCGATACATAGAAATATTAGATTTAATTATTTACATTATTTTGATTAAACTTGCTTCCAACATTCATTTTAATCAAGTATAAAAGGACAATGAAATTTCGCGGTTAGGAAACGATAAGCGACACATTTCATGTTTGGATCATGGTGGCGCTCAGTAATTACATCTACATATGTATCTATATATGTACATATGTACATGATATTATTTATTTATTTTATGTTCCCACGTTATATAGGGTCCTATTGTACACATTTTCATTACAAATACCTTTAATTTCATATACACGTAAAACAAACAAATAAATAGACTTATGATTCAGCAAATATATTTCCCAGAAAATGCATAGATTGATCATCTTCTTCTTTTGTATTACAATTATTACATTCTGTATTCGAAGTACGAAAAATGCAATTAATAGGTTCAGATAATTTGGGATTGACATTTGGTCTTATACCATAATATTCATCTAGAAAGTCCAATACTGCTGATTTATTTTGTAAATTATTGAAACACATTCTATTCTTTTTTGGAAGTAATTTTTCTAACATGAATACTAAATGATGATGAAAACATAGAAATTGGGTTGGTATCGTTGATGTAATGTCTAGCCAGTTTTGTACACAGCTCAAAGGTGTAACTGAATGTCCAGAAAAGAGAGCTGGATTTGTTAGAATTCCCCGCGCAGACATTACTCCTTCACAATTACTTTCCACAAAAAGCTTCTTAGCATTATCCAAGCTTTTCACATCCCCATTGGCAATTAGTGGTAATTTTACACTGTCTCTCACTAATTTTAAATTATCTAGATCGATTGGTTCATTTCTCATTTCCGGAGTTCTTGCATGAATGGTAAGAAATGAAACTCCTGCTTTCTCAAGAATTCTACAGAATTCAACAGTTTTTTGAATGTCTTTCAATAATCGTATCTTCACAGATACAGTAAAGGGATTTGGTATTCTATTCCTCACTTGATATATTAAATCTTTCACAAGTTCTGGTTTTTTAAGCAAGTCAGCACCATATCCATTTTTCATTGCCCAACGTTGAGGACACCCACAGTTTAGATCAACACCATTGCTGTATCTATCAAAAAAATAATTTATTAAATATCACAATCTATACAGAAATTATATAAAGTATACATAGAAAGATTAAATGCAGAGTTTTGATGTTTGAATCAATAAAAGGTAAACTATAAATGAAAATATTAACAGCAATTGTTAGTATATATAAACTTACGGTGAAACCATCTCTGCTGCATTAAGGAAGTCATATACAGTTTTAGCAGCAAATTGCACCACAAGGGGCTTATCTTCTTTATTAATGGAAAATTCATTGTCTCTAGCTTTGTTGGATTGAACAAACGAGTCGGCTAGGATCATAGGTGTAAAACACAAGTCACAATCATATTGTCTCACCAGGGTTCTAAATTGTAATCTGATAAATAAAATTTAATTTAATTAAGTTACTAAAAATTGGTAACTATGTGCGTGTGAGTGTGTGTGTGTGTGTGTGTGTGTGTACTAAATTTATTATTACTTACTTACTGTACCTGACCATTGGTGCACATACTTTTATCATTCGTGGTTCTTTTAACATTTCCATTATATCAACTGTCATCGTGATTTTCTTTTATATTTTCTATCGATAAAAAAAGTGTGTTAAAATTATAAAAAATAATATTTATTCATTTGTTTTTCCATACTTTTCTTAAAAATAGATTGTTTATAAATGTAAACTTAGCAAATAAAAATTTTTAAATCACAGT